ATTGCTGTCGACTTTAAATTTAACAGAAACCAATGAAGCCCTTGCAAGTAGGTTATTTTTAAAAATGGGCTAAATTGGTCGAAAGGCACGCCCACAGTACCATATAAGGCGAGAACACCTCTTTGAATGCGTTTTTCCTCGCAACCGCAGCAACGATGCAACGATGACAATTTGCATTTATATTGTATGAATGGTCCCGTTGCGCGTACGTAGATATGGAAAAAATTGATCACGCATAGTCAATATTGCAGATAATTGATATCTCATATATACATTCTCGATTACTATCGAATATGAACTGTTCTAGACATGATTACCCGTCCTCCTGTCCATTTGTCTGGGCGATATATGAACCGTTCTAGACATGATTGTTCGTCCATCGGTCCGTTTGGCTGGGATATGTATGTAGCAAACACTCTACCAAAAATAACGCTTGTAGCTTCAAATTTAGCAAAAACATAAAAAATCATTGCACAATGGTCGTTAGGGCAAAAGGATTTCGGCTTTCTGGTGTTTTTGCCCATTACGCATGAACAGAGAGACGGAGTGAATTTCTAATTTCATTCTACAAAAATAGAAAAAGCAAATGGCAATAGATATAAAAGATCTGTTCGCAATCAAATATAATTTTCTTAATTGTTTTTCGTTAGCATAGTTAGCTTTCAAGGTCCAAGGTGTGCGGTCATTCGAAAGTGCAACATAAATAAGACAAACTTCTGATTGACATTTTTTTTCCGGTACTTTGTATCGACCTTGCGCAATACAATACATACGTAGTTGAACATTGTAGAGCAATTGTATGTGGGATGATGCTCATATTTGTTCGTACTATTTCATCAACGAGAATTATTGACCCTTTGACGTAAGGAGAAAACGCTAGAGAAACATGATAACTGATTTTTGGAAGTAGAAATTGGATGACTTCAGCCTAGAGAATGTGTGACTTTCACAAAATGGTGCTGCGTGCTATACCACACTTCTTGACAAAAGCAATTCATTGAGAGAGAAGTTCAACGATCGTCCAATGTGAGCTTCCGCCATAAAGATCACGCGATAGAACTCTGAACCGACTGCCATGCCTTTCTCATTCTTGTCATTCTTGTTGGTTGTTCTCGTAACGCAGAGTATGCGAATTGCATAAGCAAAACTCATCCTTATGCTTTACAGACGGACTTTGAACTTTGTTCTCTTTTCATAATTCTCTCTTTAAATGGCACTACTACGGGAGCGGAGAATTATGAAAAGAAATCTTGATTAACGGAATTCTGTTATTATAGGTAACACTACTTTGAGATTATATTGAAACACTCGCTCACTCCAACGAATCGCAGGCTCTCAATAAGCTTATTCAACCAAGATTAATCGTGTTATTGGTGAAAGAAGAGCAGATTTGTGTGGAAAAAATGGTATGAACTAGGACGTTAAGTAAAAGAAAATTCCTTTCGACATATTTGATCGTTTACTTTTTATTACAAATTGTAAACGCACATTACACTTCAGTTTTTTTTATCACATCTTTTGAATATAAGGGTTTGTTCGGGAAGCAATCGAAGCAATGGTCCATTTGCAATAGCGTTTGTTCCTTCGGCTAAAACGGGTCAGTGTAAAAAATTCCTTCAAAATATCTGAAAAAGTGCCCTTGAAAACAAGAGAATAGGCCGGACAGACGGACAGATAAAGGTAGATTGATTTAGAAAGTGATTCTGTATTGATCTGTATAATAAAAGATGCATCTATCGCAAGTCCTTCTGGATGTTGCTTAGATGCGCATCTGCTTAATACGCTCATGTACCGCTGTTGATGTAGGATATAAACACACTTACTTGATGACCCTATATTTATCTGTATTCGATGATTATTGAGTTGGTGCATAAGTTGTTGTTATCAAGGCCTGAATCTCTTCTTCACTAGCAACAGACCGATCAATGTTTCAAAGACTTCATTTGACCATTTTCAATAATGAGAACCATCCACAAAGTGAACGAACTTTCGCAAAATCTCCACAGTGGCTTACAGTAGTCTCCCTATCTATAGCTCACATTTCTTTATGAAATATTGACTCATTCTTTTCTTTTTCGAAATAATAAAACGCAATATGCTGAGTGTATACATAAACCCACCACTGTAAGATGGGGGAATACTCAGTTCTTTTTTTCTCTATAATATATGTAACACCCGAAAGGAAGCTTCAGAGATCCTATAATGTATATATATTCTTGATCAGCGTGAAATTCGGAGTTGATTTAGCCATGTCCATCCGTTTGTCGGTGTGTCTGTGTGGTGTGTGTTGTTGGCACTCTCCTGATCGCAAAAATGAAGATACTGACTTCAAATTAGGCAGAAACATTGGAAGTTTCTGCACACAGGTTGATATTGAAAATGGACCAAATTGGTCAGAGCAGAAGCGCGCAATGGAGTGTAAACTGAGCGCAGTTTTGTGTTTTTTAACAAAAATCTTTGGAATGTTTACATGAAGACTGAAACCTTTCACATTTGCTTCACGAGACAATTTACTTTCTAGGACGAAGAATGGCACCGATCGGCCATGTCCGCACAAACTTACGAATAATTAAATTAAATTTTTTTTACGTTTTTCAGGTTTAATGCTTATTTATCATAAGGCAAACAAGAAGAAACGTTTAAAATTATGTTGTACACTCCTCAAATGAAGGTATATTATCTGCCTAAAAATGGGTTCATATTAAAATGAATATGATAGACATCGGGATACATTTTTTTCTTTATAATACCAGCAATATGGGTATCAAATAAAAGAACTTCGAGATCAGAACGCCAAAAGCATAGTGGTGGGTATGCGAGATTCGGCCACAGCCGAATATAACTTTCTTACTTGTTTTTAATGTTGAATTAATTTTCAAGATTTCAGTAAATATATGTACGCTTTTCTTTTAATGCCGAGAGAAATTTCAGACGCCATTTAATCTACATTTTCGCGTCACCTATGCGAGTAGAAAAATTCTGTTCACAATTATGTAAAAATGCAATAATTCTGTTTTTCCAAATACGCTTTGGAAGAAAACGCTTCCAATGTAAGCACTAGAAGTGTAGATAGATAATTTTTTGTCGGCTGTTTCAATAAAATTGAGCGTTTACTCTCCTGACTGACTCTTGTCTACATATGTGGGCGCTTAGTTTTTAAAAATTATAATTACTATCATTAATAAAAAATTAGAAAAAATTTGATAATAAATTATTCAGTGCAGAATCTCTAAACAAGAAAAATACAAATCTTATGGTTCGGCTATACTTATAGACGTATTTCCCGTGGCTGCGGAAATTTAACGTGACTTCCCGTGACGTAGTACCTACCAAACGGGGAAGCTATTAAGAATTTTCGTGGAAGTGATTAGTCCTCTCGAGCCGGAGAAACATACATAGTCGCGTCCATCTTTCTGATAAGGGTGAGAACCATCTAAAACCTTTGCATTCTTCCGTCCAAGTAGGCGTTTACAATGCAACTTCACGCCGGGAAAGCAAGCAATCCCTTTCTCCAATATGGGTCAACTACAGCCAACAGAGAAACTCTCGCAATGTATCGTTCTCGCTTGAAAATTTTTTGGGAGGCTTTCGACACAGATGACACCAGAAAAAAAAGAGGAAGAAAATAAAGAAAATAAAAATGAAAGTCCCTAGTGTCACCTTTTGCACAACTTAACATAAAACTACGTTATGAGCTATGAAATCTCCAGATGAAGTTACGGCAAGTAGAACAAGTTTCCGGAGTGCAGATGACCCTAGAATTTTGAAGCAGCGTCCTGCTGCGAAAGCTTAACCCTAACGGTGTGGGATTGTACACGGTGTAGGAAAATGCATTCTCATTGCATCTCCGACTCTAATCGATCCGTACATATAAAACGAAAGTTATCATCATGCTATAATTAGGTCTATCGGTCTGTCATCTTTCTGATATATATTTGTTATATTCTGTTCTACAGCGCTATCTCTCCGCTATCTTTCTGTTGCGTTCCGCAAACTTGTCCACCCTTCCTTTGTACTACAAACATTATAGTCGGGCGAAGTCAACCATCAAGTACCCTCCGCCATTTCCCTAAATGCAGTTATTCGCTCGTTCTGGTAATCAGACACGAAAAATTACACAATTCGGCTGAATAGCATGCTTTTCATGAAAGCACCCACGTTAGGGAACGCCCAAAACATCATATGTGATGATCCAAATTTAGTAAACTTCATTTACTTCCCAAAAGTGTTATTATTTCATAGTTTTCGTCATAGAAAACTAGAATTGATACCTTCTCTCCATGTACGGGCTTGCCTTTCATGATAATCCTGATATATGTTAGAGTCTAAAAACCAGATCTATGTGATTCTTACCCTACCGTTAATCTCGATTTTTCAAAGCAACGCGTTGTTTGAGAAGTAGTAGGAAAAGCCGGCCTATCCGAACTATTTTCAATAGCTTTCGCCAATGGATCGAAGAACGTCAGTGTACTAAGTATCACCAAAATATTTCAAATATTGGGTCCTGTAGGTTGAAAACACAAAAATACGTGAGAAGCTGTTAGACGTTAGACTGTTAGACGGACAGACTTAGATTCCGAAAATTATCCTAAATCAATCAATATATTGCGGGATAACTGAAATTGGAAACGAAAAGCCTAAAGGATGCAATGTCGGACTGAGTAGCCGGGTAGGTAAGGTTTGCAGCTATCACGTCACTGTTCGCAGATTCAAGCACTAATGCGGTAGAATTTACCTTAGAGGTAGTTATAGTGCGTGCTTCAATCGCTAAAGGCGTTTGTAGTCTGTAAGGTCGCTAGCCTTTCTCTTTCCCCTTGCCCACTTCTCCCCTTACTACATAATTTAAGAGAAACCCTTCTCAGTGAATGGTCTTGTTACCAAAAAAAAGAAAAAATTTAGCATAGAGTTGTCAGAAATCAAACCAATACTGTACTAGTCCAGTACTAGTTATGGCTTATCTTAAAATGCAACAAAGATTTTTTTACATTGCTAGATCCTGATTAGAACACTCCTGGCTTAAGGCAAATAATTAAAAGGGATAAAAATTTAGATTTTAGTTAGTAAATCAAATAACTTACCTCTTTTTCAAGATAGTCAGGTGCATTAGTACTTTCCAAAGAGCTTGAAAGCGTTGGTACGTAACCAAATGATTGAATCGCCGGTATACGTTTCACTAATAACGGTCCTCTTAACAAATTTCCAGAATTGAAATTGCTATGATTATTATTCACGTACGGCAACGATGGAGAAGACGATGACGAACAATCGTTATCGAAATGAAATATTGTCGTCTGATCGCTACAATTCGATTGAATCTCATCTAAGCATTTTTGCGAAGATGTTTGAGATTCTATTGTCTCTGAACTTAACCAAATCGGACTAGCAGTACCGTAATGGACTACCAGTGGAGATGATTGAGATTTATGCTTCGGTAAAAGCGAACGCTTGGGTGAAGTGGGAGAGCTTAAAGGTGATGTTGAAAAACTGAATGATGACTGCGTTGGCAAATACAAACAGTTGGCACTATTCGTAAATTTTCGATTTGTTTGTTTATTATTATTATTATTATTATTGTTATTATTATTATTATTATTATTATTATTATTATTAGGACTATTTATAGGTTTTAGAAATATTGCACTTTGAGTTTTAGTTTGTTTTTGATTTTCATTTAATGATTTCAATAGTTTTTCTTGCAATATCTGTTGATGTTGTTCCTGCTGCTGCTGCTGCTGCTGCTGCGTTCTATTTAACGACGTAAGATGATCAGCTTTATTTGGACTTTCCGGAGCTGAGATCGAATGAGTTTCTGTTTCTGAATTTTGTAAATCCTCTTCAGTTTCTTCAGGTAATCCATGGCTAATCGCACAGTTATGTAAAAAATTATATTTGCGCCCTAAAGTAGGCGTTAATTTTACAATAACGCCAGTACCGTTACCGCAAGAGATACTTTTCAATGTTCTCGTTTCCAATGAAGAAAGTTTACGATTATTTGTAATCGGTAATTGAGAGATAAACGATGAAGCTTTCAAACGACCATGACTATCGTAACGTAACGTACGTTTCGTGGCATTAGAATGCAACGACGCCGAATTCAATGTACAAATCGGTGTAATCGATGAACACGAAGACGACGATGGAGATGACGACGAATGCTGAACTGATGAGAATACTGTCGTCTCTCCGTTTAAAGGTTTAATTTTCAAGTTTAAATGATTATTTTCATCATTAATCAAAGATTGTTTAATCGGTGTAGTATCATACGTTCGACTATTTTCATTCGAAATTCCTTGCACTTGCACTTCTTTTATACTATTATTATTATTAAGCTTTTTAATAATTGGCGGCTTCTTACCGGAACCGAAACAATGTATTAACTCACAACTATCGGGTGTTATTGAACGCTCTTGTTTACCGTTAAACGCACGCGATAATTGATTTTGATTTTGTAATGTATTTTGTGTTTCGAATTTTTGCAATTTTCGATAAAAATTCTGTGGATCGTAGGATGGTGACCTTGAATGATTGGATACCGGTTTCGGTGGTATTGGCGGTGGTTGATAATCTTTACGTGATCTCAATGAATTCCGTAAATATGTTCGACGTGATAAATTGTTTTCATCATAACTTGTGCTGTAATGATGTGGTAACGAGGTCGATAGCAAGCAATCATCGCTCGTGTACTCATCCGAAGATAAACGATTATTCGTATTATTATTATTTTTATTTCGATTCAACGGTATATTAATTGCTTTTGATACATTACTGCTATCACATATAGAATCCGAGCCAATATAATCGCTGTTCGCTTTATTATTATTTGTATAACAACAGATTGGAGGAGGCGTATTACCCGATGATACTCGATGATTATGATGATGATGTTGATGATGATGATGATGATGATGATGAGGAAAACCGTTTATTTCACAATCGTTATTATTATTATTATTATTATTGTTTCTATCGTTATTTTCTCTATTACTTAGACTGGTATTCGTTGATTTCGTATCGTTGTGATGATTAACAATATCGCTGTCGTTGTCGACATAACTTTCACTGTACGTATGAGTTAAAATTCCCGTTAGCCCTGACGTCGTATGATGACGTTGCTGCTGTTGATCGTTAACGCTTAAGCTTGAACTTTCATCCTCGTCCGATACAAAACGATACGACGACAATTCAGAGACTGAATCACTATCGCATCGCTCAAATCTTTCCAAGTCATTTGCGGCGTTTGTCTTTTGCTGATGACGGCACTGGCTGAATTTTTTCATCTCCTGTGCACTCAACGTGCTCACACTTATATTTTCACAGCACTGCTGACAAGAGAATAAACGATGCGTTCGGGTTCGTTTCGCGGTAGGCGACATGGCTGAATTTTCTTCAGTCTTTGTTCTACTTTGAGGTGGACGGCCAACAAATGTTGCTCTAATTTGCTGTTTCTGCTGGGATTGTTGTTGTTGTGATTGCTTTTCTTCTTGTTGTTTTTGTTCTTGTTCTTGTTGTTGTTGTTGTTGGGTTGCCATCATGTTGACAGTGTCGACACGTATTTGAACGCCATTATCATTATCATTATTATTATTATTATTATTATTATTTAAATGATTTGTTTTGTCTGAGAATTTTTCTAAATTTCTTAGCGAAAATTTCTCTTTCGATTTCATATGATCGTCATTTTGCAAAAACATCGATGATGATTTCTCTAAAATCTCCATTAAATTGGCATAATTATTATCACAACTCGATGAAATGGGTGAAAAACTTTGCTTATCCAATGTCAATTTACGATATGTCTGGACCGGCACCGTTTTGCGTAAATGATTTAAATTCGGTGTGGCCGGTAACGAGATGGATTTCTTCGTTTGGTATCTAGCCAAGTGTGGTAGTGGCTCATTCAAACTCTTTGTTTTATTTTTAGCTGATTTCATGTATGAGAATCCGTGTACAAACATACACCGTACACCGTCATCAGCACATTGTGTCAGATCATAGCAATTATGGATGATGATGACGACGACGATGATGACGATGATGATGATGATGATGATAATGATGATTACGATAATAATGATGATCATGATGATATTCAAGACGATTATCACGATGCGACATCCCCAAATTAGAAAAGCAATAAATGTAAACGTATCGCATGAAAAGACAAATTTAAAAGAGAGAAAAGAAAAACAAGAAAAAGACAAACAAATATTAGTGTTTTGAAAATTTTTTTTTTTTTTATATATACGTAATTCTTTGGTTTATATTTTGTTTTGAAAATAAAGCAAAGGCATTAAATTTAAAAATAACTTTTCGCCAAACAAAACAATAAATTTTCATTATGTTAACAAACGTTCAGGAAAAAACTTTGTGCAGATCGCAAATATTTATTACACCGGTTACAGAAAAGCAATTCATTTCAATACCTACAGGCATAACGCACGAAGGATCGCTAAACTATGTGCGTGTATATGTTTTATTAAAATAAATAGTAGGATTAAGTTAATTCCTTGCGTACTTATCTTCTCGGATTTTTACGAAAATGTTTAGTCGACGTCGAAATGATGGCACAAGTTTACCTAAATGAATTTTAGCTCTCATTTTTTATTGCCGTCGGAGTAAATTAAAACTTCAACAATATCAGGAAAAGTGTGAAATTTTAATGTTTAGATTGCATAATTGCATGATTCGTAAAGTTTTCGAACAATCCAAATTCAATGACACCTTATTTTATATTGAAATTGTTATGAATATCAAAAAGGTATTTGCGACTCTCTGTTCTCTAATGAAGAACTTGGCATGCTGGTTTTTCTACCCATCACTGAAGGATATGCATTCTGTCAAACTGTTTGCAACACCGAGAAGGAAGCCCCAGACAACCCATAAAGTAGACATTTTCGTTTTAAACATTTCCGTCTGTCTGTTCTGCACAAAGATTGGTAGTTCTTGTATGCATGTTGGTCTTGAAATTCAGCCAAAACACTGACACCACCACAGAAAGACATAATTTGGAATCAGCTCTGTTTTCCAAAAAAAAAAGAAAAGAAAAACAAGTAAGAACATTATAAGGACAAGAACATAGGACAAGGCCGACCGTTAAATGCCCTATACATCTTGCAGTCATTCACTCAGTTTGGTAATAAGATACCAAAATTGTACATTACTTCGATGCAAAAGCATACTTTTCGTAATACTCCGCATACTGGACGGTACCCGTAACTTCGCTCAACGCAATCTAAATTTTGTAAACTTAATTTACTTCAATTTCCTGAAAATTTTATTATTGTTCAGATTACTTCGTAAACAAAACACTTTCTCTTCATATAGGGACTTGCTTTTCATGATGACCCCTATATATGTTGTGCTAATCCAAATTCCTTATAGTTAATTCTTTTTGCTGGGTCGCTACTATACATTAATTTCAATCATAAAAGATTAAAAATTAAAACCTTTCTCTGAATAGCTCACTATTCTTGGGATAGCTTACATGGGGTGCGGTCCAAGGAATAGACCCATGTGGTTCAAATCTGATCCACTTAATATATATATCAGATTACTATCATGAACAAATTTTCATCCTAACAAATAGGTCTTTTTGGCATACACCAAATTATATTTCTGGAGAAGCCTTATATGCGGTGACAGACGTTTTTTTGTCAAAGGTTTTCGCCAACTTACAGTTACGAACCAACTTTTACTATGAAATGTTAAAAATTAAATTTAATTTAATTAAATTCAATTTTTATTATATACAGATCTCGTGTTCTTAGGAATGGATATATGAGTGGGGACTCGAAAAATTCATCAGACCAACCAAGTTTTCCATACTAATTTAGAAAGTCAAACCATTGCTACTCAGTGATTTTTCTTGAAAAAGTTTGAAAATGGCAAGAATTTCTTTATAACGAATTTTCAAAATAAGGTGTTATATGGGTGGTGGTAGAAAAAGTGCTCCGGCCTTGAATCGAAACTCGTCGGAATAGCAAATTACATTACAATATCTGAGAAATTCCTGACTGTAAGTTGAGCACAAGAATTTGAACACAAGAAAACAAGTCTGACAGACGGACAGACAAGTTACGGTACAAGCAATCGCTACACTAAATGCTTCGTCTATCGCAAGTCCTTATACGCTTAATATATCCCTGCACCACAAGACGTGTAGGTTATAAAATCCATTCAAATGTACATAAGAAGACGATAATAAAACTTAATGTGAAGCGAAATTACATTGGATTTCTTTGCTTAACTATAAAAAGGAAACGCTATAAACAATTTTGGAAAACCACTCAAACAGTTAGATCGTAAAGCGCATTTGCTTTTCAGAAAAAAAATAAAACATAAAAAAGTAGAAAAAAAAAAAACATAAAAGTTCAACTGCTTTAAATATTGCTACATATTGCGATTCTTATTACACATATGCCGTTCATGTGTGCAACACGAAGTGTCAACAGCAAAATCAATACGATTTACATATCTACCGGAATTTCTTTTTATGCAATTAATTATGAGTAAAAACCGAAATTTTTTTTCTTTTCTTTTACCTTATCTGATACTCCCATATAATCTCCTGATCTACTGATTTACTCTTATGACTCCAATAATCTGCAACAAATTAATGGTTGTAAGCGCCCAAGTCTCAAGGTTACTTTGGTTCCACACTTGGGTTTACTTTGTTTTCTTTAGATACTTCCCTTTATATATATATATTAGTTTACTTGTGTCTCTCACCCGTTTTATATGTATATATATATATATATAAAGTATCAATCTCGTAGACGTAGGTGCCTATTTTTATGTTATGTTATTTCACACATATATGTTACTCTATCTGTTTATATTTGCCTGAACGGCCGAAGGCAAAGAATCTCGATTAGTAATTAATCGGCAGTGGGTTCGAATCGCAACGGCGGTGGAGTTTTTAATAAAGCCGCTAGTCTTAGATGCTAGTGCTTTTAAGACTTTTCTCTTTGCATTAATTTTATATATTATTTATTAATAATAATAATAATACCTGTTTATATATATCAATTTTTTCTCTTACTCTTTGTAATTATATTTATATATAAATATATATATTACTAAATTAGCAGATTAATGGTAAATCTACCAGAATTCTAAGCGATTCTCAGATCTGAAAAGCACATCAGCTGATTTCAAATGTGATTGTCAGTCGATAGGCAACGCCGATCACGACAAATAGGTTTAGAGGAAATATCAAGCGTTTTTCCTCTTTGTCTCTGATTGAAACGGTCGTGCTGGATGGACATAAGTTTGGAAAACCGAAAGTGTCCACGTAAAGAATAAAGCTAAGGAGCCGTTTAAGCCCAGACTAAATGCGTACGACAAGAATGAGCTGTGGAGCTGACACATTAGACTGTAAGACGGCCGGTCAAACTAGGGGAACACCTCGTTTTTCCTCTAGGAAGTTTCACTAATTTGTTCAACATTAAACCCGCATGAGTTATTAGCATTTATGTATTTAAGTAAAATAACTTAGATCTTCTTTAGCTAAAGTTATGGTTTTATACAATTCTATAAACGAAATACACCCGTTTTGATAGTTTATCGGGTGGAGGAATTTTCAATCTTTAGATGGTTTGTTTATTTTTCTTATTACGTTGACCCAATTGCCCTATTCAGTGCAAGTACGAGATTCAAGCGTATATATTAAACCTGGCATTACAACTTTGTCAGCGAATATGTTTATCACCGTGTGAGCTAAGAATTATAAAAGACGATGAATGAAAATTTTATATAGTAAAACATATTTGCTTGAGTTGGCTAGACAGACAGACAGGCTTAGATCAATTGAGATTATGATTTTGAATCGATCAGTAAAGTAAAGAGTGGGTCTATCTTAAGTCCTTCTGCGTGTTACATATCTCCGGACTAACTTAATATACCCTACTAAAATGTACTGTACCATAAGTGGTGTAGGGTATGATAATAACTTTGACGATTCGGTTAGAATATATTAATTGAATGTAGATATATTTGCGGGCGTCCCTGGTTCAATAAGGATTATTCGAATCGCGCCTTATCTTAACTCGGTTATTCGATCCCTTTTTTATACCCTCCACTCTAAGGTGGGGTTATATTCATTTTATTTTTTTACACTAATATATATAACGCTCAAAAGAAAACTTCAGATACCTTATAAAGTATATATATTCTTGATCAGGGTGAAATCCTAAATTGATTTAGCTATGTCTGTCAGTCTGCGTTTCTTTATGATGTGTGTTGTTGGCACTCTCCTGGTCGCAACAATGAAGCTATCGATTTGAAATCGGGCGGAAACGTTGGAAACTCTTGCACGCAGCTTGGTATTAAAAAGGGGCCACATCGGTCGAACAACATATCTACAGTACTACGTAAAGTGAGGACACTTCTATTTATTAAAACGAATAAAAAATTGATTTCTTGCGCATTACTCATAAACTGCAGCAGATAAATCGACAAAAATTTAGAAGTATTTTCTATGGGCATTGCTATAGTACTTCTAAAAAAATCAGCCACGCCTATTTAATTTTTTAGTGAGTCATAATTTCATTTTTGTTTATAACACATAAAGTAAACTACGAAGTGTAAAAATTCTGGATCAGTTTCAAATTCGGAATGCACCAAAGCATATCCACCTGTTCGACTGTCCATCAGTCCGTCTGTACAACTATGCTATGACTGGGGTAAAAATTCTTTGAAATTCACCCAAATGTTTAGAAGAACATGCCTACAACGCCGACCCTCTTATGTTACAAAAACTGTAAAGACCTCTGTTTTCGGTGCTTTTTCTTGTTACTCATAAAGTCACCCACGAACCACATATAAATTTCCAGTTTTATTCTGTAGTACGAAAATTTAGTTCTTTCCTTTTTTAGATCATGGGGATGGGTATGAGAAATTCCGCCGCAATCGGATATAATTTCCTTACTTGTTTTTTCTCAAAATTAGTTGAAAATCCAATTTTGAACCAACTGTGACGAAAATATACGTCATAATCCGTTCATCCTTCATTTTAGAAAATATTTTTGTCATTTTTTCAAGACGTTTCATTACAACCTAATTTCATATGACAATAACTTTGTGTTTGACGAGTGTATGAGTATATCGCTAAAGAGGTCGATACAGTTATCTGGTTAAGCCGTGTTATAATTATCGTAATTTTTGAACAGCCTTCTATCAAAATCGTGCTTTACCAAGTTCTGCGGTAAACAACTGTTGTCAGTACATCGAATGTATTATTACAATTAAATCGTTTCATGTTTTCTTTCATATAAAGGTAAGACACTTTGAATTAATTTGGCAGTAAGTGAGTTAAAAATACCAATTCGTTTATACACTTACCTGAAGCAAAAGAACTCTTTTTAATAATATGTTTACGTTTCAAATGCCAACACGAAGAACATTTTGTTCTTGATGGGATGCAAGATGAGCAACAGAAATTTCGCTCGTTAACGACTACATTTGAATTACAATCATTATGATTATCTAAAGGGAAATTTTCAATTATATCATAATCAAGTTGGCGATTTCTTAAATGCAAATCATTTACATCTTTAGTAAGTGAAGTAGATCTGAAAAGTTAAAAAAAAATAAATAAATAAATAAAAAAGTTTACTTTATTCGAAAATTACAAAAATAATTTAAATTTAAATTTTTTTGCAAGATAAAATATTAAACATGTCAAGCCTAAGAGTATGCTAAAGAAAAAAAAGGCATTTCAACTTCTATTAACAATTTCTATACCAAACAAACTTTGTCTATGAGCCATGCATGCGCTTACATAGTTTAACATGCAATTCATTTCGTTTTAAAGGCAATTCTTCTTCTTTCCTTTATTATTATTATTTTAAGAATTTCATGCAAAAATTTATTTTTATTGAAATGCTTCACCTGTTCCACTTGGTTTGAGCTAGTAATTCATTTGGATAATTGCCATTTGTTCTTGTAGTTGTGTGTCGTGTTGTCGTTGCCGGCCTTATATCGGCATCCTCGCATTGTTTGACATGTACTTCAGGCATTTTTATTTCAATTTTTTATAATTTTGCTTAAAAACCATATTTGGTTTCTCTATTCTTCAACTAGCTGTGATCATAAAGTAAAAATCGATTGAAATTTTATTTAAACGAATATGTATGTACACATAAATATATATTTTTTTTTGTATATATACAAATAAGAATAATTGCAAATGAAAAATAAACATATTTGCGCGTAAGTGCATGTAGATGCTTAGTTAACCTAATTAATATTTTGGCTGATCATCTAAATGGAAATGCGAACATTTTTTCTTATATATACTTACGGGCATACATTGACCGGAAGGTAAGCATGAAATATATTGACATTTTTTTTTTTCTTTGGGATAAAAGAGTAATATTGAGTTTGTGCGGTTGTACGGAACTTGAAGAAAGACGTGAGATAAATCTAACTTTATTATACTGGTCGAGACAAAATCACTTTTTGGATCGATCTAAGCTTGTTTGTCCGTCCCTCTGTCTGTCTATTTTCTTATGTTCAAGCTACAATCCGCAATTTCGGAGATATTTTAATGACATTTCGCACACCGAAGTACTTTGGCCCAATTACACTATTGAAAATGTTCCGGAACAACCACTTATAAGCCACTTATTTTAAAAAGCTTGATATTTAGTAAACCTATTGATTAAAATTCACTTTCTAAACCAATCTAAGCTTGTCTGTCCGTCCTTGGATCTTCGTAGCCAACATGCAGGCGGCAAGTTTTAAGATATTTTGATAAAATTTGGTGTACTGCCTTGTTTTGGTCTAAGGGTAAAGGCTATTGAAAACGGTTCGGATTTGATCACTTTTTTGATTGCAGGTTGGTGCAGGATATTGTTTTTATTTCTACTTTTGTTTTTTTTTTTAAATGCGTTGGCTGTAATGTTGGATGGATGGAATTTGCGATTTCTTACAGTAAGTAATGGAAGCACTCTTTTTCTTTAGCTATATCTTGTGGTGATCGAAAATGGCACCATTTTTCGGTATTGTAAAATAATGCCAGATTAAGAAACGTGAAATATTTTTGCGAAAATCTGATGAGTCTGTGAAAATAATTTGCAAGCAAGCTAAACAATTCCAATCCGGCTTTCCAGGACTATATTTCAAAAATACGGTATGTTAGCATAAACTAATTAAGGGAAAGTGGTTAAATTTGAGACTCTGGTCGATCGAAATCATAAAATTCCAACACTATTTACTTGGAAATGTGTAGCTTGTTTGAAAGGTATTCGCAGATAGCTTCATTAGATGTCGACAAATATACTTTACGCCTCCTAGTTTGGTCAGAGTTGGCTTCCAAGCGTATCCAACTATAACTTTGTTTGGCAACGTATTTGGTAGATGTCCTTGCTAGTTGAAATCAGATTTACTTTTTCACCTTTCTTCCGATTAATATGAGTTTTAATAGTTGACTAATTGTTTGTTCGAACGGTGCTTCCATTCCATTACTCAAACGACCATTTGTTCTTTTCACACAAACGTTACGAAAAGTAATGCCTCTCGTTGGACACTATATTGGGCAAATTGACTCGTAACATTTCTTTTTTCAAATACTCTTTCAATTTTATCTAAAAATGTGGTAGGTTTAATACCTATTTCTATAGAAAAACGAAACTTTTTTCTAAACTCTCGGAAGAGGAATAAAAGCATATAAAAATTTTACGATACATTGCTTCTAGTTGCTATAATGTTAAGGCACAGAATGTAGCTGGCAATTAGTAAAAAACATTAACAAAATTTGCCGGAAAATCCCTCAGATTGAATTAACAAAAATATCAGACCAAAATCTGGTATTAACAACTTGTTCTCAAAAAATTTGTAAACAGAGAATCAAGTAGCGGGAACGGATTTTTTCTAATTTCCAAACACAAGTTTTTTGTCGAAGAGGCGAGTGGGCGTTGCAGGCGTGTCGTTGGAAAAGTTAAAGTCATTTCCAAATTGTTTTGCAAATTCTGCAGTCAATATCTTAATTTTCGCTGACGGTGGTATGTTTACCACAAATACTACACAGTTGCCTGAACAGACGGATGGACAGACGTACTGACCGATACGTTTAGGCGCATTTCAAATTTGAAACTGCCAAGAATTTAGACAATTTATTGGATTTTCGATGCCTCTTTCTGGGCGTACACAATAAATTTAGTTAGGCATGGTCAATTTTTTCCACTTTTATACGGGCATTACAGCATCGCCCATTGAATATGCGTTCAAATTTGTGTACATTTATCTGGTGGTTGGCCCCTTTTCAAATATCAACTTGTGTGGAAGAACTTCCAATGTGTCTGCCAATTTCAATGTCGATAACTTCATTTTTCCGGCCAGGAGAATATTTACAACCGACATTATACCGACGAACAGACCGACAGGCTTAAATCGATTTACAATTTGATGCTGATTAAGAATATATATACTTTGTGGGTTGTCGGAAACTTCCTTCTGGATATTGCAAACGTTTTAACAAATTGAATATATCCCCCATCTTTCGGTGATGGATATAAAAAAGACATCAAATTGAGAGACGGCATTTTACATAACAATATCGTTATTCATGGTCATTTCATTGCGATAATTTCGCATCTTTATTTCTAACTTAATTTTACATTTAATAATAAAATTGTTAATGACTCGAAGCTAAAGCAGTCAGGATATACTTTTCTTATTTTGAAGAAGAATAATCCTCTTTGCTAGCTGCCTGTTTAACCAGTTAAGTGTGCGATCATACACAGTGTAAGTCTAAGAAGAAATTAAATTGTAATGAAATGACTTAATAAAACGACAAATATATTTTCTAAAATACATTATTGTCGCAGGCACACACATTCATAATGACAGAATATAATGAGGAAATCCAATAAGGACGGATTGGACGGAGTATGACACATGCGCTGGTCATACACAGTTAACTATTGAAGACCATCATTGCCTATAATAACTAACTATAGTTTGACTCTATTTGTGACTAAAGGAAATGAGATTACACAGCAATATCATCATATTATATAAACGCACATTTATTAAAATATGTATGTAATGTTAAAGAAAAATATGTCGTATAGTAATTATTAAAAATTAAATCTTCATTATAAGGCTTATCATAATTAAGTTAATCTTTAAAATTGCTTAAAGAGGAAAACTCTAAACCCGACATAACGGTGTCTACCGTGGGAGTGCCCTGTGACTAGTCTCGCTCGTTTGTTTAACCAACTCCAAGGTTTTTGTAGAATCTGAAGCATATAGCTTAATTTTTTCGACTACGTACGTTAGCATATAAACACAGGGACCGGAAGACGCTATGATCGATAGATGAACCTGCTTAGATGGATACAAAATTTCATATTCGATCGATGAGGAGTATATTTTATGGGCGCCCAGAAGTTTCTTTTAGAAGGTTGCAAGCATTTTGGTAGAGGATTGAAGCTTCGGCAATGGTACTGGTGAATTTTCCCATTTTTGTGCAATTGCCGGAGGACCTGTTATAGTATCTATGTGCAAATTTTTCAACGTTGTGTCTGTTGTATTTCTTAAACCGCGAAAAAAAAACACAATTTTTTTTCTTTGCTTTTGAAAACTGAGATTTAGCTTTACCTTGTATTACAAAGCTATCCCTTGACCGAGTTGGCACATTTGCAATATCAACCTGCGTCCTAGATCTTTGAATATTCATCCAAGGCTTGAAGCGAGCAGGAAAATGTCAGACATGCTTAAATCGATTTACAATTTGATGCTGATCATGCATGCCTACGGGGTGCTGCAGAAAACAATTTAAGAAAGCAATTAAATAACTACGTAAAAGAGATAAATAGAAAGATATAACTGGGCTTGGGCATAAGTCTTCTCATCCTTGCGATCACGCAAAAACTTTGGGAAAAACTAACTTTTAAAAAAGCTAATAAATTTCTGTACCATAAAATAAAGTACCCAAGATGTAATGGAACACTGAAGTACGTATGACAAGGGACAGTGTAAATGATTGCTGATCTATGTGTACTAAATCATGTTCGTTTCAAGAATAGTTAACTCGTTTCATAACATCTTCGTGCTCGAGCTCGATCGTGAAAGTCCAGCAGAAATCGTTCACAGCTATTTCTCCGACTTCACGCATACCAAATACACAGGGATGTACTTTCTTAAGTTGAGTTTCTAGTTTGAGAGGGTTACCTTATGCTCTCTATAAGTTCATTGCTTTATGTAAATACTTTGGACACAGGTGGAAAACAACATGTGCATCTAGAAAAGGCGGAATCATGGATAGGTGGCGCCCGAACCGTGAGTGCGTACGAAATTTCTTTGCAAGGCATTAAAGACAAACAGATTGTCACCTTTCTTCTCGTCCAATCGCCCTTCATCGATGCAAGTTTTTCCAATTCCAATCGACATATAACCCCAACAATGGTCAATCACTGCTTTGAAAAAGTTAGAAAAGCCTATACTTCGATAGCAACTTGGCTGTATTTGCACCAAGAACGAAATGATTAAACATAACCTCAAACGTTACCAATCAACTACATCAAGAGATTTTGCCAAATTTTCTTTTACAACGAACTTAACCTAGTTGCATGTGAATTGTTACTGTTTGCAAAATGTCTGCGTGGGAGCGAGGCAACCGTGGCGGCTGAGCCGATTGCTACCACGGAATTTCGTGGTGACTTTGCTTACCTCAAAATCGCGGGAGCATTAAATATGAAGATATTAGAAAAATCCACGCCTTTTTTCCGGAGAGCATATTTTGTCAAAACATTTGCGGTAGCCAGGAGAACGCGTCGAAACCCCTTAAAGTATATACATAACTAACGAGCATAAAATGCTGTATTGATCTACACAGGTCTATATATCGGTACATCCGTGTGCGGTAAATATTCTCATGGTCGTGTAAATTAAGATATTAGAGATAAGGCACGGCACGCCTGCTATACCACGTAAACGTAGAACACCAGAAAAATTACATGCATTGCCGGCCATTGTTCAGAAATTACAACAGGGAGAAGGGGGAACATTTTTTATATTTACTCTGTGATTGATCCTAGACGACGTTTATAAAAATGAAAATAATCAGTTATTGTACTCCATACCTTTTAGAATTTGGTTTTTTTTTTA